TATTTGAGCACCTGTAAATCCTTCACTATGGCGAATAATGTAATTGATATCGATATCAGCTTGTAGTATTCCATTTCGAAGTACATCATGTCTGCACAAGTCATGTGCGTAAAAACATTGAGCGTTACTTGAGCAAGTCACGTGGAACAATAGGTAAACGCCGTAGGTTGCTGCAGTTTATTTTCTACTCACCTGAAGCTCTCGTCCAGTCGAAAATCAAGAAAGAATTCAAAGAACGTATAGATATTTTAAGAGAGATATCTGATGGCGTCGGAAATGAAGACATTTTTGGTGAAAACCCGTCGAGTAATTTTTTTGATTGGTTCGAACGATATGAATCGAACGTTATTCGTCACCATATGTTGACATCAGTATGGTTGTCGATAAACTACGTGGATATCAATGCTACTTCACGTCTTTACTATAATAATGACATGGAAGCGATGAATCACGTATTAAGAATTGGAGCCAATTGGGAAATAAAATCTTTCTCCGACGTTATTGACATTATCGACACGGTGATAATGACTAGGGTCCTGCAGGAACGACTTTTTCCCATGTTTTCCTGTCCCGTTTCCCGCGGGAATCGGGAACGGGAATTCCCGCGAGACGCCGGTAACGAAAATGCGGAAACGGAAATTCTGTTGGACAGTCCGGGAGCGCGAACACGGGAATGAGAGCGGGAACGCGGGATCGGGGATGAAAAAAGGTTGTTCCCGCGGGTCTCTGATAATGACACAACACAGAGTCATTTAATTCGATCTTTGTATGATGCTGGCGATTTGGAGTTGGTTCCTTCTGATACCAGGTGAGAAATCCTGATCACCCACATCATGTCCTACTTAGTGTTTTTTTTATAGGATTGTACATGATCCTACCATATGGACACTTGTAACAACTCAAGAGCGCAGCGTAGTGATTAATAAGAACTATTCGTTTCCTCATAAATCATAACCAATTACAACTGTCTTCAATGTTTCTGATCAGATTGGACAAAAGCCGGGTCAATGAAGAAGCCGCACCACTTCTGTAAAAAGTCGAAAAAATAAATAAATCACGAGCATTTCCATTCAAAATAAAAAACCGAGTTATTTCATTTTTGTCATATTTTTAATATATTTTACTTCACAGGAACAACGTAAAAAGCTTGTACGATGTATACTCAAGTGAGATCTGTTCAAACAGCCGGTGTTCGCAGATTATCTGAATCACTTTCTTGGCGTTCGTAGACGATTATATATGCCACAGTGCGGTTAAAAAAATGTTAGTAGATGTTCATAGATATACTTTCGACAGAGTAGTACAAGTTTTGCGTCAATATTGGTTAAAATGAGTGTTTATTTTCATTGGACTGGTGTTCGCAGATTTTCAAGCATGCTTAAGAAGTGTTCGCAGAAAAAATTTGACTTGTATCCTTCGAATCTATTTTTGGACCCATTCAAAGTAAGTGCTCGCAGGTGTTCGTGAGCACAACTCATCGAGTTCTATCTGCCTATATAAATAGGTTTAAGCTATCTTTCCTTTTAAGATATTCGCAGGTGTTCGCGTATTTTACAGATACTTCTTCTCAGTAGTATTCCACCGGAATACGCTTGAGTCCTGGACAGATTCGTATAGGATATAGTGGTTTTCCTAAGGAGTTTCGACCATACCCAGTGGTTTCTCAAACTGATTTCGAACAGCAGATTTGTCGGGAATCATAAGGATCCAGTACGGTGCCTTCCAGTCCAGAATATTGCTTCCATGTCCCATATATTTTTTCGGACGATTCTCGGGGAAACATGCTGGAACTCGTTGAAATTGGCAGAAAAAACCTTCGGTTCCCATACATTCTGGATGGATCTGGAAGGCGGAATCATCGACCTGGGAAATTCTATCTATGCTTCTGTAGCACGTGAGCAGCCACCCTATTTTCATTAGCAAACAGCATTGCGAATACTAATTACGCTTCGCCACTCAGCCATATCATGTCGCTTCAGTTTAAAATTCCTTCCCATGGACAGCAAAAGTTTGGAAAACTTTATTTGATCACTGCTCACCCGAACAGATTCAGACACTTAAAAGACCATATTATATGTCTACTTAGTTTCGTAGATGAGATGATAATGTGAATAGCTTAATTGGTAGAGCAGCCAACTGCTTATTAGAAGATATGATTTAGGTTCCCATCCTGCTCGAATGATTCTTTCAACTTACTCTTTCCTGTTAAGTAGAGCATGTCAAGTGGATATATTTATTTGAAATATATGAATGAAAATGTGTGGGCAAGTGAAATGATTGTAGATAGCTCTACATGAACTCGTTTTAACGCCATCTCTTTCTATCTAAAATAATCTAAACTCACTCTCACCATCGATTAGCGAGATGCAAGAGTTGGAATTAACAGATTGAACTTGCCTTTTTCGTTTAGATATAGGTCGATCTGTTTTCGACTTATAGTGTTCTAACTTAAGCGAGTTTGGTGCTGATGAGATTACTGACTTGCAATTACTATAGACTATCTTTCCACAAATTTTTAGACATCTAACTCATAAGAACTGAGATCCGAGCGAGAAGGGATAGTTTGGGCCAATAATGTAATACAAGTTGAGAACTTTGTTGCAATTATGTCTTCTCAGAATCACAGCAATTTATTCGTTTAGCCCTATGTGTTCAGCATTAATCTGAGCATTGCGAAAGTGATCGATCGTTACTCAATTATATTCCGCGCCACGATAGGACCAAGTACACAATGAAAAAGTAGCTGTACTTAAGGTATAGCTGTCACATCAAATTTTCCTTTTCTTGCGTTAAAATTGAATATATATGTTGGATCCTCATAGTATTTTGGATTCGATTGGTATGGTCGAGTGACTTTGTTTTTAATCATTTCATCCAATGTGGAACCAAAGTCTATATAACGATTATAAGGATTTTCTAGCCATGCATAATGAATCAGGACGCGAGTTAAATATCCTACTGAGAATGCAGAAAGCCTGTTCCTATAGCGTTTTGCTGCTGCTACAATTTTTCCTATTGCTTGTTCTCGCAGCGTGCTATCTTCCCACATGAAAGGTCCATTATCGGGGTATTGTAATATTTCACAGGCCCATTCACTTAACTCAGCTAATTTTGCAGGATTAGTTGCGTTATTAATAATAAGAACTATTCGTTTTCGTTCGTCTCGCATAAGTGAGCGCTGTAACAGTTTAGTAGCAGGATAGTTTGAGTTTGCAAATAAATTTGCATAAGTAAGATATTTGACATGTTGATAAATCATGGTGAGAAAGTCATGAATAGGACAAATGCGCTTTACATCATAAATTCCATAATAAAACGGACTGATTGAATTATACTTATATTTAGGATAACGTAATGCATTCCTCAAGTCCTGACCCAATCTTGACGGGCCGCCAGGCCATGATGCTTTATCATGTGGATGATATCCAAATGCAATGCCAAACATTAGCATCATATCTCCATCTCCTATTCGAACCAATGCCATTCCGGTATCGTTCCTTAATGAGTCCGGAAACGGTTTGCTAATCATGGCTGCCATTGTAAAGAAGTGATTGCGAAATGTTCCTATTCTCCAAGAGCATTGTGATGGAGTTATATGGTTTTCGGCACACCAATTCAATATCGAATCAGCACAGGTAAGATTTTGATCAAGAGTAAGGAGGTTTGTTCTTTTAGTATTAATCATAAATTTCCAGCAATTGAAAGGTACAGAATCCTTATACAGAAATGCACTGGTTAAGAAAAAACCAAAAAGAATAACTCCAATAACTTGACACCTAATTGATATACTCTGCAAATATTTGCTATTATACATTGGTGGAGATTTTGTTCAAAATTTTTGATTATTGTCGTAATTCATCTTGATATGCCAAGTACTAGAGTAATGAATCAAGCTTAATTTCTATCTTGTGACTAAAGTTGGCGTCAGAATTACATAGAATCAACGTCCCTAATAACAACACTAAAAAAATAGTTTGTCTTGGTTGATTCGATTCTCAGCTATTTTACACTCAATTGAAAATATTTTTACATATGCGCAATCCTGAAAGTTTTCGCTTTCAAATGATCTAATAACCATCTTTGTCTGACACTTACTGGCGAAGAAGTCAGCAGTCTACGGTACTGAACTGCTTCTGTTTTTATTAGGGACAGTTTCTCTAATAACAACAGTCAGCTAATTTTTGACCCTAATAACAACAGTCAGCTAACTTTTGACCCTAATAACAACACTAACAAAATTCAAACAAAAAGGGACTTCTTGAGAAAACAAAAATTTCACCGTTTCCCTTCGAAAAACAAGCAGAGGTTTCCCTCGCATTTTTTTAAGAACGTATCGAACTCTATCTAGATCCAAAAATTCATGAGAAATGAAATTCTATTTATCAACGAACGAACTTTGAGAAGAAGATATTTTGCATTGTTTGATGAAAAATTGTTTCTAATAACAATATTCCGCTATTTTTTGTCTTTAATAAGAACAATCAGTCATTTCTTGGCCCTAATATCAATGCCTAGCTATTTTCGACCCTCACGAAATATCCAGCTACTTTTTATCCTTAGGATGTAGGTGTCCTAGCTGAGATATTATCAATGCATACTCACATAAACATCCACACTCATGTCATTACTATAAAAAACAACATCAGCAAATACCAACATTAACAAATGTTCGAATATATCCAAAACAAAATAATCATTTAACCTTTACACAGAATCGAAAAAATCATCCAGCAATTAAATGTTTTTATAAGAAGGACAACAGCTATTTTAAATTTGGACAACCAAATCATCAAATATTTGATTGTCCTCAACAACATTTTTTCGAATAAAGAGATCATATGATGGCAACGATCCCTGCGAAGCCAAAAAGTCATCAATCACAACAGCATTTACTTCCATCCTTGTTAAAATTCTTTGCAATAACACTCCACAAGAAGTACTTATAGATATCGGATCGGCCATCACTATTATACAACAATGCTTATTAAATGATATCCCACATGAAAAATTTATACCAAAAAACAAAAAATCATTTATTTGCAAACTGCTCAACATTAAATATTATTGGTAAAATACCATTAGAAATAAATGTGAATGGAATAAAAATTACAGTTATTGCTGATGTTACAACAAATCTTGTTACAAATTTAATATTAGGTAGTGATTGGACTCAATCAAATAACGTTTATATTCTTACACCTGAACAACGGCTCATGATCCGAAGTCGAGGTAAAGAAGTATCAACTCCTTTTCTAAAACCACCTCTTTTAAATTATCCAGCTATCCTCATTAATCATATTACTCTTCCTCGCTTTTCAGAACAAATAGTAGAAGCAAAAATCCAACATAACAATATGATGGATGTATTATTTGAACCAAATCCTCGATTGAAAAACAAAGCATTATTTATTGCCAGTGCATTACTCAACATTAAAAATGGAAGATTAGAAATTTGTATAATTAATGCAATAAATCGGTAGCAAACACTTTCTGAAGGAACGAAATCAGGCATGTCAAAACAATTATCTTCTACCATTAGTGTTACGATATCATCAGGACATTTAAAAGAACGCAGTCCGAAAGGAAAAATTTGTCCAGTGCTCATTCCTAAAGGGAAAGAAGCGAATATGTCGAATAAATTAGATTCTAATAGCATGCCGATTACAACATTGCATGAGAAACAACATCAATGTCGTAATTGTCATCAATATTTTGATACTGGAAACAACTCATTTAAACATCACCAACGAATGTTATCCTGGAGAAATAAGACAACAAATAAATAAATTAACTGCACATATTGTCCATGACAAACAATGAGAACAAATCTTGAGGTGTGGGTGTGTGTCAAAGTTCTATTCAATAACAGTCATACACACGCCCACACCCTCTTTCAATATTTTTACATGCTTCGATAGAGATCGTAGAGCTCTACAAAACTGTCTATATTAAAAGTTTATTAAGCCATTTTTCTGAGATAAAAAATTTTACACATTACTTGCAACATCCTAAAAAATGTTTACCATTACTCATCCACCTTATTCTCCTGACTTGGCTCCAACGGACTACCATTTGTTTCGTTCTCTTTCGAACCATATGCATGAGAAAAAGTTCGACGATGAGGAGGATGTCAAAATGGAACTCGTCAACTTCTTCGGTCAAAAGTCTCAGGACTTCTACGAACGCAGGATCTTATCCCTGCCAGAACGTTGGTGACAAATCATAGATAGTAGTGATGCAAATATAATGGAAGGCTACTTGTACTGTTGCAGTTGAAAAAGAAAAAGAAAATTTTTGAAAAAAAACGCAAAAACTTTGTTGATAACCTAATATTTACCTCGCACAACTGCGCTTCGCCATTAAATAAAAACTAAAAATGACTGAATATTTATGAATGTCACGAGAAAGTCAATAAATTTCTCCTTCTTTCTTCGCATTGCATGAGAAAAAAAACAAGTTTCTTTTTAAACCGGAGAGAAAAATAAAAATGTGGATAAAAACTGATATCGGCACGGCAGCACGAAACAAGCGTACAGTCGAAGAAGGCATGGTAGAACTGATTTTGGTGATGATTTATCTGGCATCCCACCAACACTTTGTAAAAAAAGAGGAAAAAAGAGGATTTTTAATAAAAAAGAGAAGAAAAAGAGGCATACAGTTTAGTCCGAAGAAAACTAAAACTCACTG